AAAATATTGTGCCCACTACAAATGGTCTGTCTAAGTGAGTCACATTCAGTACATTAAATACTTCTTTACAAAAAGTCACATGGCTACACTACAATTTCAATTGCTACTAGCTTGAGACCCTACAATTTGTGCAACCAGTCTTGCAGATGATCTTCTTCCCCCTCCTACCTTGCTAGCCATAATTAGAAAACCACATCCCTTTTTACAAACTTCCCTCACTCTCTTCAAATCATTCTTCACAAACTTCACTTCTTTTCCATTTAAAACGCTATGATCCTATAGCGCACTTTTAAAATCTTTCAAAGACTTAAACTCCATCTCCAATTTAAATTTGAAGCTCTTGGTCATATCATCTGCTCTATACTTTGGAAACTGCCTCTTATTCTCACTCACAGGCTCATCATTATCTACATTTGAAGACAACTCATCTGTATTGTAATCTTCATTTATCCCATGCTCTCCAACTTCTTCGTTAATCATAAATGACCCCTCACTATCTTGGATTCTTCTCCTAACAGTTTTCTTCCTCTTTTTCATTCTACTCCCCCTATCCAAAATAGGATTGATATTTCTTATCTCTTCCTCCACCCTCTCATTCTCCATCCCAAACCCATCATCATCATTTGCCATTCTTTCCTCTTTACTATCGTCCACATTTTCCAACACTTCGCCCTCAACCACATTACCTTCTTGCTCTTGCTCTTCCTCTTCCTCTTCCTCTTCCTCTTCCTCATGAACATAAGGTTGTTCCTCACCCCTCTCTACATTTTCTTCCTCAACATTCCCCTCTTCCTCTTCGTCATCCATTAGGACGTCTTCTACTTCCACTGTGTCACCTTCTTCAACAACATAACCATGTTGTTCTTCCACAATAACCTCTTCCTCCATCTCTTGTATGTGTACTTCATGTGCCTCTTCACCAAAAGTAAGAAAGTTAATTTCAACTGGCTAATTGGGTTGGAGATGTTGGACATAGATTTCAACCTCATCGTTATTTTCCTCTGCATAGTTAGCCAACAACATTGCTTCACTGTCATCTTTGAGTATTCTGAGGTTGTTCATGGCCTTTTGTTTCGACCCCTTCCACCATAGCTTGAAGTCTGCATCATACTTGAATTCTCTAACAAATCCCACTACTTCAAAGTAAGACCACATGTCGGGATCAATTCCTTTTATAACATGTCTTTCTCCTCCCACATATTCTACTTTCTTATTCTTCATGAACTTCCCCATGTGATGCAGAGAAACGTCAAAAACCATTTCTTCCTACATGGTAAAATGAAAAATTTACACACAATGCACATCAAACAAGCCACAGTAAACCAAAACTAGATAATTACCTTTTTCTTTGAATCACCTTTCTTTGACACTTTCTTTGACACGCAATGCACACACACTGGAGCCACATAAATCGCAAAAGCAAATTGAGGGAAGGAACATGAACCCTAACTAGCTTCATTCGCGTATAAAAATCCCTAATTTTCTAAGTACAACAATCCTAATTTCATTCGCGTAAAAAAATCACTTAACACATGTCATCAAACATGCAATCACACGTGGCAAGAGATACGAAGGAAAACTGTGAACACACGTGGCCAGACGTTAGCCACATCAGCTGATTTTTAACGGTGTTAGTTTTGGAGGACCAAAAATTAAGGTTTCTTTAAGGGGGAGGACTAAAATGTACCTTACTTTGAAAGAGAGACTAAAAACAAATCCGTTTGATAGTTTAGGGACTAAAAATATATTTAACTAAACAAATTAAAGTTCAAAACAAATATTTGAAATTATCAAAAACATATTTTTATCTTAGAAACAGCTAAAATCGGAAAAATAAAATCTTCCGTAGATTTGTTTGTATACTTTACTCTTTGCTTTTTATATCCATAAATGATTAGACGGTTATACAAAAGCGGCTGATTGATTCGTCCACCAACTGTTACAAAACAAAAGAAAAAAAAAGGCGCCAAAACCAGCATATACATGTAAAATAAAGGGTCATGCATAAAAGTTGAAGTGCGATAACAAGATAACAAAGGCAAAGTTTACGATACAGTACGTACTCTCGTCCAAACCCATCTTCATAAAATCTAACCTCAAAATTTCGAGAAACATGATTAATTTAATTAATCTTTGAAAGAATTTTACTAATATATTATATTCGTTCTCATTACTAATGCTTTTTAAGACTTTATTCTAAATGTTTATAACATTTAATAACGTTAGACAGAGTTAATATTTTATAGAAATTACATTGCTTTGTATTAAAGGCCACATGGAGTAATTAAAAAGTTGTTTAACATTTATACGAACTTATTATGAATTTTTGTTTAAAAGGAAGAAAATAATTTATTTTCTATACTTTGTACAACAATTATTTTTAATTTATGACTAGTTTTTAACCTATGATCTTTTTTTCTATATTTACTTTATTATCCAAGAATTACCATATGCTCAAAAAAGTGTTGTTTGATGAACAATACTCACATGCGTGTTAAACTATCATGGTGAGGAATAAAGGGTCATATACCTTCTCTGCAGAGAATCTTCTCTTTTGCTTTTCTTTGTGAAGATATATGACTTCACTTTATGACCATAAAACAAAAGAGAAGATAAATGGATGAAAATTATGCATTCTTTAATTAATTATGAGCTGTTGGTTTGTGAAGTGATGCAGAGTGAGTTTTGGCTTTTCCATTTTTCTTTCACAACCCGTGCCCCCTGTTTGTCTTGGTGTGTAGAGAAACGGTTACACCTGGAAAAATTGTTTCTATGTGAACTGCAAGTTTTGGAAATTTGTAATAGATGAGTTTCTGAATATATGGCAGAAAAAAAATTTGATTTTTTTCTTCGTTCTATTTTAGTTCTTGTGTGTTTGTTTGATTTGCTTGTTCTTCAGAGCTTGAATTTGGCTGAAAAGAATGAGATGTAATGAATTGACTCAAATCATTTCGTTCATTAAAGATTGTAATAAACCATTTTTTTTCAATTGAACATATTGTTGCCACTTTCTTATTCATGTGTTCTTGGAATTGCGCAGAATCTGCCTGTGGATGTGAAGGAGAAGGAAGCTTCAGTTCTGGAAAGAGTGTAATCTAGAGCAAACTAGAGTATAACAAAAACTCCTCTGTCTGTAATGGGAAATAGGGTTCCTCTTTCGGTGCTTCTGGTTTTGGTAACAGTTTTACTTTCAATCTTTCACTCGGAGCAACTGCAATCCTCTCACTCGCAGACCTTCCTAAGAATTCAACGGCTATTGAACTTTCCAGCTGTTTTAAGCAGCTGGAACAACAACACAGACTTTTGCAGCACAGATTCAACATCTTCTCTCACTGTAGCTTGCTATGATGGCACCATAACCCAGCTGCACATTGTTGGTGAAACAAGATCTCCACTTCTCGCTAGAAATTTCTCAATAAATTCCTTTTTCACAACACTGGTTAGGCTTCCCAGTCTGAAAGTCCTCACTTTGGTTTCTCTTGGCATATGGGGTCCATTGCCTGGTAAGATTTCTCATTTGTCATCACTGGAAATTTTCAATGCGAGTTCAAATTTCTTATATGGTTCCATCCCTCCAGAGCTCTCGTTACTATCACATCTCCAAACACTCATTCTAGATCACAACATGTTTTCTGGCCATCTTCCTGAATGGTTTGATTCCTTTCCAGCCTTAACTGTGTTAAGTTTGAAACACAACTTGTTCAATGGTTCACTTCCGGATTCACTGAGTAGCTTGGAGAATATGAGAATTCTTTCACTTTCTCATAACCACTTTTAAGGTCCAGTGCCTGATCTGCACCGTTTGACGAATCTCCAAGTGCTGGAATTGGATGATAATGGTTTTGGACCCCGGTTTCCCCAGCTTGGTGACAAACTAGTTACTCTAGTACTAAGAAACAACAAGTTCAGGTCCAGCATCCCTGATGAAATGAGCTCATGTTATCAACTTGAGAGACTTGACATCTCAGCAAACACATTTGTTGGACCGTTTCAACTAGCACTAATGTCACTGCCTTCTATTACTTATCTCAACATTTCTGGGAACAAATTAACAGGAATGCTTTTGGAGAATCTGTCTTGCAATTCTGGACTTCAAGCAGTGGATTTGTCCTCAAATCTTTTGACTGGGATCTTACCAAAATGTTTAATGTCAAATGCCAATGATAGGACTGTCTTGTATGCCAGAAATTGTCTAGAAGAGACAAATCAAAATCAGCATGCACTACCCTTTTGCCACACTGAAGCCATAGCTGTGGGAGTAGTACCCGAGGGAAAGAAGCACAAACCAGTATCTAAGGCAGTTCTCTCCCTTGGGATAGTATGTGGAACTTTTGGAGGAGTAGCAATTATTGCACTGATTTTTTTTATTATCAGAAGAAGAAATGTCAAAACAAAAACCAAGGATCCTCCTCCAACAAAATTAATATCTGAGAACGCAGCTTCTGGATATACCTCTAAGTTACTCTCTGATGCAAGTAACCCCCTCACTCTGAATAGCATACATTTGTATGTGTGTGCACACAGACACATTCCTTATACAAATTTTTGCATTTTTCAACTTGCATATTATCTTGAAAACTCTCACATGCAATTGTTAATTGGTGCCATGAATTATTTGTATGTGTGCAGACAGAGTACCAAAGTTATATTATCACCTTAAAAAATAACAATACATTTTTAAAACTTTGTTATTGGAAGGAAATTGGGTGATTCAGTTTAGACATTAGAAACTTGAGTTTTATTCAATTCTTGCCTCAATGAAAATATAAACTATTGCAACTTGGTTTTGTTCTTGTGTGGCATCCTTGAGCCTTTGATATTCAAATAATCAGAAATTCTNACCCTACAATTTGTGCAACCAGTCTTGCAGATGATCTTCTTCCCCCTCCTACCTTGCTAGCCATAATTAGAAAACCACATCCCTTTTTACAAACTTCCCTCACTCTCTTCAAATCATTCTTCACAAACTTCACTTCTTTTCCATTTAAAACGCTATGATCCTATAGCGCACTTTTAAAATCTTTCAAAGACTTAAACTCCATCTCCAATTTAAATTTGAAGCTCTTGGTCATATCATCTGCTCTATACTTTGGAAACTGCCTCTTATTCTCACTCACAGGCTCATCATTATCTACATTTGAAGACAACTCATCTGTATTGTAATCTTCATTTATCCCATGCTCTCCAACTTCTTCGTTAATCATAAATGACCCCTCACTATCTTGGATTCTTCTCCTAACAGTTTTCTTCCTCTTTTTCATTCTACTCCCCCTATCCAAAATAGGATTGATATTTCTTATCTCTTCCTCCACCCTCTCATTCTCCATCCCAAACCCATCATCATCATTTGCCATTCTTTCCTCTTTACTATCGTCCACATTTTCCAACACTTCGCCCTCAACCACATTACCTTCTTGCTCTTGCTCTTCCTCTTCCTCTTCCTCTTCCTCTTCCTCATGAACATAAGGTTGTTCCTCACCCCTCTCTACATTTTCTTCCTCAACATTCCCCTCTTCCTCTTCGTCATCCATTAGGACGTCTTCTACTTCCACTGTGTCACCATCTTCAACAACATAACCATGTTGTTCTTCCACAATAACCTCTTCCTCCATCTCTTGTATGTGTACTTCATGTGCCTCTTCACCAAAAGTAAGAAAGTTAATTTCAACTGGCTAATTGGGTTGGAGATGTTGGACATAGATTTCAACCTCATCGTTATTTTCCTCTGCATAGTTAGCCAACAACATTGCTTCACTGTCATCTTTGAGTATTCTGAGGTTGTTCATGGCCTTTTGTTTCGACCCCTTCCACCATAGCTTGAAGTCTGCAACATACTTGAATTCTCTAACAAATCCCACTACTTCAAAGTAAGACCACATGTCGGGATCAATTCCTTTTATAACATGTCTTTCTCCTCCCACATATTCTACTTTCTTATTCTTCATGAACTTCCCCATGTGATGCAGAGAAACGTCAAAAACCATTTCTTCCTACATGGTAAAATGAAAAATTTACACACAATGCACATCAAACAAGCCACAGTAAACCAAAACTAGATAATTACCTTTTTCTTTGAATCACCTTTCTTTGACACTTTCTTTGACACGCAATGCACACACACTGGAGCCACATAAATCGCAAAAGCAAATTGAGGGAAGGAACATGAACCCTAACTAGCTTCATTCGCGTATAAAAATCCCTAATTTTCTAAGTACAACAATCCTAA